CACAAGAGTTTTCCTAGCATTTTGGCAAGTTTTTGCAAATGTCAGAGTTTAACTTCCTTTATAAGAACAGCGAGATTGGTATTGAAACTTCAATACTCTAATAAAATAAGGTCAATTGTCTGACAAAACAGCCTTTACTGGTATTACTTTTAAATTGTTATACTTTTTCAAGCCTTTGATAATGTTTCAAATAATCATACTATACATGACATAAGTGCTGAATGTTTTAACATAAGACAGAAAAAATAGATTTTCACTTTTAATTATTTATTATTATTGCCATTTATATAGTGTCAACAGATTCCGTAGTGCTTTACAATATTAATCTTCCAGCCCAGGTCGTGGTTTGTTAAGCTGTGTGGATCTATCTTTAAAAAGACAAACAGTTGGGGGGCGGGACTTCCGGTCGCACCGAACGGTCGCATGCAGTGAGTGCTCCGTGACCGGACCGGCCTAAAACGCGGCATAAACAGCGGCAAACAGCCCACACCACCCCGCAAACGGCATCAGAGGTAAGGGGAACATCCCCCCACCCCAGCATGGCCCCTCCAAAAGCCCAGCGATCATCCGATTTTTTCCGGCAAGGAAAAAAAGAACGGCTCCGTTCCGACCAAGATGGCGGCGGCTCCCGCTCACCAACACACATGTCTAAAACAGGCTCTGATAATGAATCACGGCAAACCCCCACAGGGGATCTCTCTATCTCAGAGGTGAAATTAGCAGCTATGCTCCATGACTTGCGCACATCTATGAAAACCGACTTTCAAGCAGTGGTCTCAGACCTGCGCAAAGACCTCCTGGAAGTGGGGACACGGGTGAATGTACTGGAGGAAAAAACTGATGAGCTGTGCCAAGCCAACGATGCAATAGTGAGCAAGCTGCAGCAACTGGAAAAAGACAACAGGCGCCTGACGGAAAAAATGGCGGACTTAGAAGACCGCTCCCGCCGCAACAACATCCGCGTGCGAGGAATACCGGAGAAGGTGACACAGGAGGATCTACCGTCCTACCTACTGCGCCTCTTTCAGGCTATCCAACCAGCCCTGGCACTAGCGGACTTACGCCTTGACCGAGCACACCGGGTACCAAAACCCACCAATCTTGCTCGAGATGTCCCTAGGGACGTAGTGACCAGATTACACTATTACAGCGCAAAGGAAGCAATCCTCACAGCGCAGAGAAAGGCATCAGAAATGCCACCTACATTTGAGGAGATATCACTATATGCTGACCTATCACCGACGACGATGTCCAGAAGACGGGACTTTATCAATGTCACAAAGTGCCTCAGAAACCACAAAGTGCCTTACAGATGGGGTTTCCCCACTAAACTCCTGATATGGCGCAATGGATCACTGACCAAAGTTGAAGACCCGACCCAAGGAATGGAGACCCTCAAATCCTGGGGATTATTTCCCACTGACAACGCTCCCACGACCCCGGCCCCACTGCGGAAAGTGGCCACAAGCTGGACAAAGGCCTGAGCAATGTCGCCACCACGGCTCCTCCTAACATGGGCCGCTGCCGGCTTATTCTCCAAACCCTGGGGCACCCTTCAGGCCTACACCCGTCCTATGAACTGTGGCAACACCAAGGTTTTACATCTGCACGTGAGTACAGCTGTACCCTGGCCCTACCACGCTCAGCCACCTTACCACCAGCACCTCCCGCCACCCCATACCCCGGGCTGGCCGCCCCCCTCCCGGAAACCGGGAATGCTACCCAAGGGAGAGACTTATCTGGACTTACACCTCCAGGGGGGCGAAGGTCTCTTCCACCCCCGCCTCACATCTTCCTAGGCCCTAGAAGGCTATGATGAGACTCATGAACTGGCCTAGGCCCACACCCTTGCTACCTGCAACCTTCGCTGACCCCCCCCCTGTGGGCCCCGGGGAATGTTTGCCCCACTCCAGCTACTCAGCCATACCGGGTGATTGGACTGTGACAGGCGTTTAGGCCTCACCGAACGCTGAAGAACCCCCTCCCTCCCCCCCCCCGAAGTTCTTTTGGGACACCACTCGCCGCTGCAGCCCCCTCTCAGAACAATAGAGGGTACGCGCTCGGCGGAGGCGTCCTCCCCATAATGCTTCTTAGCTATTTGCTCTGTATATACTTTGTTTATGTTGTATATTTTTGTTCCCACCGTTATCAGCTCTGTTATTTCCCATGCCCCGGCCCTACCTTTGAGATGCTCCCTTTCTACCATGGGCTAAGAGACGAAGTATCTGCCCAGGACCTCCCTAAGCCTTACTGCGTTAAACCCATGAGACAACCTCAATCACCCAGATGTGCCCACGAGGCGCCCAACCCCCAATGCAATGAGCCCCCCTAGCAAGTTTCTCTTGGTGTCCCTGAATGCCCATGGCCTGAATACCCCACAAAAACGCAGACTGGCCCTGTCTCAACTGAAAGCCCTGAAGGCCTCGGTCGCATGCATACAAGAAACCCACTTTTCAGCCACGAACCCCCCAAAGTTTTCAGCCTCCTCATATCCACTAGCGTACCACGCCCTAGCGCCTAACAAGACAAGAGGGGTCAGCACACTATTCCACTCAGATTGGAGCTTCCAATGTGAAAGGGAATACAAGAGCCCTGACGGTAGGCTCCTGATCCTGGTGGGCCTCCTCAATGACGCACAGGTGACTATAGCAAACCTTTACGCCCCAAACGTCAACCAGTACGACTTCCTACGAAAGGCACTGAGAAAGGTTGACAAACTAAAGAAGGGACAGACGATGATATGCGGGGACTTTAACTGTGTGTTAGACCCTGACCTAGACAGATCAGGGACACCGGGCTCCCACCCAAGAGACAAGCTCCTAGGGGACAAACTGACGACGCTCCTCCATCTCCATAACCTGCATGACACCTGGCGGGCACTCTACCCAGCCTCTAGGGACTACACCTTTTACTCCAAGGTCCATGACCAATATTCCCGCATCGACATGTGTTGGGTCGACACTAAAACCCTGGATACCCTAGCGGAGGTCGCTATTGCCCCGATAACCTGGTGAGACCATGCCCCCCTCACATCATCATTTACCACACTACACCCAGTCCGAGGACGGGGGCAATGGAGGCTCAACGAGTCCCTCATAGACAACCCTGAGAGGGCCTCTGAGATCCAGAAATCACTAACACATTACTTCGAAGTCAATCACTACAATCACACGAGCGTCACCACGACATGGCTGGCCCACAAGGCAGTCACCCGTGGAGCACTCATACAGATGGGGGCAAAACTGAAGCGCCAACTATCTGAAAAAAGTGACTCCCTACTGAAGGAATTACAGTTAGCCGAATCACGACACAAAGCCTCACCCACTGAACCCCATAGACTCGAAGTCCAAAACATTAGATCCACGTTAGAAACACTACAAATGCAACGGGTAGAGAGAGCCATTAGGAAGATGAAAACAACTTACTATAGGCAGGGGAATAGGGCTGGTAAACTGCTGGCCTCTCAGCTTAAGGCGAGAATCTCCCAGGTAAAAATCCCCTATATCAAGGATGAACATGGAACCAAAATCATGAACCCCAAAGCGATTGTAGACGAATTTGCTACTTTTTACGCAAAATTATACAATCTCTCCGGGGATTCCACCCAACACCAGCCCACCCCTCAGAACATCGCCACCTTCCTGGAGGGTATACATCTCCCCCAGCTCTCCACCGCGCAGGCCGCAACGCTGACCACCCCGATCCTACCAGCTGAGATCACCAGGGCACTACGAGACACCCCGAGACATAAGGCCCCAGGACCGGACGGCTACTCCGTACACTATTATAAGGTGTTTGAGGACCAACTACTCCCCCACCTCACGGCATTATTTAACCATATTCTAGTCACGGGTAACATACCCCCAGAGATGTTGGAAGCCACAATTGTCACAATTCCCAAACCAGGCAAACCCACAGACCTATGTGCAAACTACCGCCCGATCTCGCTCCTCAATGCCGACACCAAACTATTCGCCAAGGTCCTAGCAAACCGTATCCGACCCCTCCTAAGCCAACTCGTCTCACCTGAGCAGTCGGGCTTTGTCCCGGGCCGCCAGGTTGAGGACAACACCAGGCGGGCCCTGGACATAATGGAACTCATGGACTCTGACCGGTTACAAGGCCTTACAGTTGCCCTAGATGCGGAGAAAGCCTTCGACAGGCTCCACTGGGGCTATATGTCGGAGGTCCTGCGCAAGTTTAATTTTCCGCCCCAATTCCTGACTGGACTCTTATCCCTGTACACTTCCCCCCGGGCGACTGTCATGAGCTCTGGCTTCGTCTCTAGACGCTTTGATCTGACGAATGGCACACGACAGGGCTGCCCACTCTCGCCCCTCATATTCATTCTCGCAATGGAACCCCTACTCCACAAAATCAAGGCAAACTCTAACATCGCGGGGGTCCCCTCACCAACGGGACAACATAAACTAGCAGTGTTTGCGGATGACATCCTCCTTTTTCTCACCAGGCCCTCAGACTCACTCCCCACTCTACTGCACCTTTTGCACGACTACGGCCGTGTATCTTACTATAAAAACAACATAGCAAAAACACAGGTGCTACCCATGAACCTGCCCAGATCCCAACTTGAATCTCTTAAAGTACTCCACCCCTTCGAATGGAGGAAGGATACCCTCTCTTATTTAGGCACACAGCTGACACCCTCAAAAACCAAACTCATAAGACATAACCATAGGAAATTGATGGGAGACATAGAACGACGGCTGGATAGCTGGGGCACCAAAAACACATCATGGCTAGGACGAATTAATGCCATCAAAATGGTCATCCTCCCACAAATACTATTTCTTTTTAGAGCCCTACCGATTACCCTCCCCAAGTACACCCTCCGGGCATTCCAAAGCCTCATTAATGCGCACATATGGAAACGGAAACCACCAAGGGTATCTCTGGCGAACATCAGTATGGTCATGGGAGGAGGTGGGGTGGGTGTGCCCCACATAACCAAATACTATCTAGCGACACACCTGGCCCAGATGGCACGCCTTCTGGCTCCCTCAGACTACCCAATGTGGTTCCACCTAGAGAGTGCATTCAGCGCACCTCTATCCCTCGGCGACCTACTGTGGACCACGACAAAGGCCCAACCCCAGTATCCCAAGCTACTCTCGACATCGAGGGGATCACTCCAGGTGTGGCTCAGATGGGCCCCAAAAATGACCGGTGGGAACATAGAAGCCCTTGCCCCGCTGACTACTCTCCAGCACCACACTCACGACCTCCCCTTGCAGGGATGGATAGGACAAGGAGTGACCAGAATATCACATCTCCTGGGAATAGATGGTCTACTACCATTCCCCGACCTCCAGAAAAAATACCTCATACCTAACAAGGAGATCTTCACATACATTCGTATTAAACACATAATAGGAGACGTCAAAAAACTAACCATGCTCACACAACCCCACAACTGTTTTGACACGATGTGCCTGGGCCAAAAAAAAACCAAAAAGCCATTGTCCCTATGTTACCATCGCCTATTAGACTTAGACAGGCCAACAAAACAATCCTACATGTTACAATGGGAAAGGGAGCTGAACAGTACCTTTGAGCCGCACAGATGGATGAGGGCCATGTCATTAGTAAAAAAAGCCACACACTGCCTAGACCACGTAGAAGCGGCCTACAAGTTATGGCTTCGATGGTACTATACGCCTCAACGGCTGGCCGAAATATACCCGGGCTCCCGGGCAACGTGCTGGCGCTGTAACCAACAAGAAGGCACCCTAAGCCATATATTCTGGTACTGCCCTGCACTCAGCCAATACTGGCAACAAATCCAAGACCTGATAAAACTCAGAGTAGGGATAGACCTACCACCTGCCCCTGAACATTACCTGCTCCATATGATGCCACCCGAAATAACAGCCCACGAGGCCTCACTGATCACCCACATCACGCTTGCTGCAAAGCAACGAATAGCTGCCCTATGGAAATCCACCTTAGCACCAGACATACAGTCGGTAATTACCAAAGTGAATCTCACCCAACAGTATGAGGAAATGTCGCACACGATTAGTGGTACCCTACTGAAGTATAAGGGCATTTGGTCCAAATGGTAGATGACCGTGACAGCATGGCGACGAACACCTCCCTCTAATACACATGTATAGGGGAGCATCCCGAAACCCCCCCCCCCTCTTTTTTCCCCCTAGTTCCCGACATCTCCCACCTACTTCCATCCTCCCCCCCCCCCTTTTTTTCTTCTTGAGAAATCAAGGGTTATAGCCACGTTGGCAAACCTCTCAACTCTGAGGAAACCAGTAGAGCAATTACGGAATAACAGCCTATGGAGCTGTTGTATATGTGGCACCCTGAAGCATCGCTTGAATAATTAGGTAACTGGAAATCAGTTGCCACTCAGATCTGTTACTGTACCCGTTTCTTACGGCTCCAATGTATTAGATCCTACTGTGTAATACTATGATGTTGAACCCTCAATAAAAATGATATATATAAAAAAAAAAAAAAAAAAAGACAAACAGTTAAAATTCTGGTAAAATATAGACCAAATTTTAAGTATAACTTTTTCATATTAACAGCAAAGATCAGCAAGCTAGCCTCTTCAGATTTTAAGCTCAGAGACTTATAATAGCTGCCAATCATTGATAGCCAACTTGACAAGAATCACTACAGGTTGACATGTTATGGAATAAATGATAATAGCCACAGAAAAGTTTCAAATTTAAAGTCCTA